ACACAGAAGATGCCCTAGGTGGTCTCTGAGTACTACCAAGCCCTGTTTAAAGTCCATAAAAAATGACTGCAACCCAGTTCTGACATGAATCATTTCACAGACTCTTCAAGAGTGAAAGGTTGTGTCCCTCCGCCAGGCAAAAAACCACAAGCTGAGATGCTTGCTGAAGGCAAAGGAAATAATGAGTAGATGGTGAAAGATGGTAGTTCTAAATACCAGCCACAGTCATATGATCAGTTGCAGAAATTAGTATGTAATTGTTATGAGCATTTCTTCCTTCCATATTTTTTCTTCACTTACATTAGCTATAAATGGGACTAGTGAGGGTGTGAAATGTACTCTGGTGGCCTAGAAGTAAGAAGCGGTGCTACCATCCCAAAGGCAAGCAGTTTGAATCCACTAGTCACTCTGAGAAAAAGATGGGTAGTCTCTTACTATACAGATTTATGGCCTCAGAAATGCAATGGAGGTTGACTGTAAGTTGGGACTAAATTAATGGCATTGGGTTGGGATATTTTTGTTGTTGTTGCTGTTAACACATTTCCAGTGTTGGCGGTTTTATTTTAGGCACAATTATTATTTTAGAATTAATTTTTTAATGTACATCTAGTTGTTGTATATAGGGTTTTCGGTACAACAACTTGATATGTACATTAAAAAAAATAACTCCAATTCTAAAATAATAATTGAAGAAGACCTGAAGCGCTTGCTACAGAGGGTCAAGGACTGCAGCCTTCAATATGGATTGAGGCTCAATGTAAAGAGGAAAAAGATTCTCACCACTGGGCCAATTAGCAGCATCAGGATGGATGGTGAAGAGATTGAGATTGTTCACGGCTTTAGTTTGCTTGGCTCCACAGTCAACACTCTCGGCACCAGTAGCTAGGAAATTAAGACGTATTGCCATGGAAAAGTCTGCTGTTAGGGACCTCTCCAAAGTACTGAAGAGCAATAGTGTCTCTCTGGAGACTAAGGTGCATCCGATACAGTCTGATAATAGTCTTTGCTATCACTTGTTATGCATCAGAGAGTTGGACAATGACTAAGGAGGACAGAAGAAGAATTGATGCCTTTTAGCTGTGGTGCGAGTATTGAATATACCATGGACTGTCAAGAAAACAAACAGATTCATCCTGGAAAGGGTCAAACCGGGCGGCTCCTTGGAGGCAAAGATTCTGAGGCTCCGTCTAACATACTTTGGACATGTTGTGAGGAGAGACCAGTCCTTGGAGAGGGACATCATGCTTGGGAGGGTGGAGGGACAGTGCAGGAGGGGAAGGCCCTCTATGAGGTGGATTGATTCAGTGACAGGGTAATCGGGCTGGGTGTATCAGAGATGGTGGGATTGGCACAGGACAGAGCAGAGTTTAAGGCTGTTGTACATAGGGTCGCTACGAGTCACAAGCGACTCGATGGCACATAACATATCAAATTGACAAAGAGGTAGACTGCAGTGGTTATATGTCAGTTTGACTGTCCATGATTCTCTGATTTGCCAGTTATAATGTAGTCATTTCCTTGATTTCTGATACAATCATTATCTTGATTAGTTTTAAATAGCTAATCAGCTAATCAGTGTCGAGGACTCTCCTTCATAGAGTCGCTATGAGTCACCTGCGACTCAACGGCACTTAACAACAATCAGCTGAAAGGGATTTTCATCAGGGGTATGAAAGTCTGGTAAAATTCACTTTATTTTTGCTCAATCTGAATATCTAGTTTGTCACCTCCAGTTCTTGGATTTGTCTTTACTGCTGACCCTGGATTCATCAGCCTTCACAGCTATTTCTCTCAGGAGAAGATCTCTCCTGAGACCTGTCTCATTGATTTGGGACTTGTCAGCCCAAGTCGTAAGTAATTTTCTTTAGATGAATCTGATATCCTGGCTTTTTAGTGGCCTCTGGAAGACTAGGAGCATTTAAAGGCATTACATAAATGAAATCATATTCTCTTACCTCCTAATTTGCATAAAATGTTGTAGGACCAGTTATATGATAAGACAAAGTTACAATAAAGAAAAGAGAGAAACTGCTGAGGCTGCTTCTGTATAAATGAACACTTCAACACTTCATGGGATTTTTTCTTGGAGTTTTAGGATTGTAATTCCATGGAAATTGACAGTTAACTGGTCTAAAAACTTCTACTCTATCTCCTAGTTTGTTGGGTAGTGACTGGAGTCTTAAACTCTTACAAGGGGCCATCCAAGGTAAAATAATTTGTCTATTTGTCTGGAATAATAGAGGAAGGAGAGTCAGGAATTAGGAGGAGGAGGATATGAAATATGTGAAAGCGTGCTTCTATAAAGAATTATTTTCTTTGTCATGCAATTAGAACTGGATGGTGCCTGGCTACTATTATTGAACATTTTGATCAGAGAGTCTACAGAATAATGCTGATTAAAAGGGAGAGAAATATAGAACAAAATATAAAATTCTCACAGAAGCTAGTTTTTCTTGAGCCAGAGAGGCATTATCAAATCCCTTAAACTTGCCCCAAAACAATCATTAAGCCTTAAGTTAAAAAAAAATCCCTTGAAATCTTTTTAAAGTCAAAGAATAGTTTAGCTTAACTAGTAAACAATGTCTGTTCTGAACACTGCTCTTTTAAAAACTCTTCGTGAGATCAAACTGACAACAGCAACTCAAAAAAGATCAGCTAAAAACCTGAGGAAGTGGTGAGTTTATGTTAATGGGGAAAGAATAGAGGGCTAGAAGAGTTGTTTACTTTGAAGACTGTCACTGAACTGTATATGTTGAAGTGACTGAATTGACATATTTTTGCTGTGTAAATTCCCAACAATTAAAAATATACTAAAAAAACCTCAACAATTACTGTAGAACTTCTCAATTATTTTTACCACATGCTCTCTATCCTTCTCTCTACTTTTATCTTCCCAAATAATTTCCCAAGAGTAATGTGATCCAGATTTGAATCAAATCACCTAGACATTCTAGGTATCTTGTTCTATAAACAAACCGTCCCTGGCTCCTCAGAGATTGAATACGGACTCTAAATATCTGACATGCATTATTCAAGCAGTATCACACACAGAAAGGCTGAAAAATTTGACATTTTCCATTTACGTGTACAGAGGGAAAGCAGAGCACACAGATGCATCCACAGTATTTAATTTGTTTGGATAATAGTTACATAAACAGGTACACTCCATATACAATTACCAATACTTTTTTATACAGTTCATATTTCAGTACATCAACACTATTTTATTTACACTCTATTTATGTACATTAACATCTTTCTAAAGTCAGTGCATTGTCAACAAGATTTATACAGTAATTTACAAGGTGAATGTAGTTAATAATTAAGTTAATAAAATTTCTAATTAATGAATTTAAAAAATTAATTACAACCAATATAACAAACACAGACCAAACAACATTAGTAGATTGTGCTACCTGCTTAAATTAAACACATGTAAGGAAATAATTTTAATAAAATCTTTCACTTTTTTATGGGACTTGTCCAGGTAGGAAAGGACACATTTTATATACTGAAAATTCAGAATTAAAGCCTATCTGGCTTTATCACAGTACACTATTTAGGCCAGACTTTGATACTTGCAATAATAATCTTCCTTTGAAAAAGGTTTCAGAGTAGCCATTTAAGACAATCTTGCCAAAAGCTCTGAGGAGAACTGGATAGTAACCAATATCAGATATAGCAGAACACAAATACTTAATTTACATTGGTACCTACTACCTACGGAGCAAAAAGACTAATGGAAACTAGCAAATAATAAGTCAACTTCCTGGGTCTAAATGAACATAAAAGAATCAGAAATCAAAACAAAACATAAAGGTGAACTAGTTACTTCAATTACATGTTAAAACAAACAAACAAACCCAAACCAACCAAACCAACACAGGAAAAAAAATGTCTGAAATAAATAACATTTATATCTTTGTTCCAGTCTTGAATAATCAAAGGAAAATATGCAATGAGCAAAGAAACATTAACTTTTGATGACTGCTATGAAATGAAGAAACAAACCAAAAAGGTAAAACAAAAGTTTATGTCCTAAAACCACCAATTTAATAAAAATACAGAGGAACTATCCATCGTTGAGATGTGTTTGACTTTTAAATTTAATATGATTGTGGAAAATACCTCAGTGCTTTAATTTAGAGCCACTACATAGGAAAATGCTTTCAAAATCTATTTGCAAGTATTCGCTCCTTTTTTAAAGTGCAAACTATACCAAAGAGAAAAGTGACCACCAACTCTGAAGCACCACTGAACTTTGGTGCTGTTTTTTTTCCTCACCAGCAGCTCTGGGTGCAACATGAGCATGTGAAAATGGAACAAATAACACCACACTCAGCAGCTGGGGGTATACAATTGAGAATACTTTACGTATCCTGAAAGTGAGAGGATTTCCCTGGATGTTTTTCCCTCCCACAGGGCCTCCCGTCCAAGGACCCAGTGTGGGGAGACAGCTCTTAGAGATCCTTCCCTTTGAGACTGACCACTATACATCTCTTCCACCAATGACCGTGTCTCAAACACAAATGGACAAAAACAAAACATAAGAAATACAGAAAGAAAAAAAAAAAAGAAATACAGAAAGAGTAGGAAAATGGATGGTTTGAAAAATAAGTCTAAAAATCTATGTTCGTGCCGTAAGAATTATCTGCACACTGTCATGATCTTACTTTCCTTGTCTTTTCATTTTAATGGAAAACTTCAGGAAAAAGGAGGTAGCATATCATGTCGTCCCCAGACAACACTACAATTTTTTGTTTGTTTTTGACTTTGACTCCAAGGAAATCCTTAGTATTTTATGATTATTGGTAAACTCTATACTCACTACATGTTTGTTCATATCTGGACAAGCACAATTTAGTTCTATTTGGTCCCAGGTGGCTGGTGCCAAACCCTTTTGTTTATAAGCAAATGGTGGGCTCTGCCTGAAGGTTCTCTACCAGACAGCTTGTGTGAGACACTCCAAAACCAAGTGATTATTATTGTTATATTAACTATTTTAATTAGGATTTTAATTTTGTGCTTCAGGGTCACAGGATTAAAATAACTACATTTAGCTTGCCTTTCAGCGACGCTTTTGCCAAATGTCAGCTACAGGGAGTTGCCTCCCTAACCACCAGCCCGTCAAGTGGCAGAGTGGTCACTTCACTGTAACACACAGTACTTTTTGTAATCGGACTCGAAATCTTCATCCATGCTGCTTGTGTCTGCCATTTTTTTGCCATCGATCTTTGGCAGGAATTGTGCATAATCTATCCTCTGCTGCTCATAGAAAAGAATGTAGGCAGAGTCGGTGTCAATTTCATCAGGGTGAAGTTCCTGAAAGAGTGAGAACAGCCTTTAGTGAAAAAATTATCACATGTAGGCTCTTAATCCTCGCCAGGAATGAAACAACAGATCCTCTCGAGACAGGAAACCTGGCTGCTTCTAATCAGCTTAGTGTTCTGGTCCTGGATATTTATACCTAAAATGTACTATTTTCAATGCTAGAGTAATATTTTAATAAATTTTAGAAATGTCATACTTTATAGTAAATAAAGACATAAAAATATAAGTAATAAAGATTATATATAAAAAGCTTAACAATAATTTATTTTGTTATTATTTATTACTTTTAATGTTGCCTTAAAGAGAATTTTTTTCAACATTTCTTTCTGGGAAAAATAATCTGACAAGAAAAGGAAAAAGAACAACAAAAATAAAGAAACAGAAACTGCCCAACAAATTCCAAATGAAAGGGAAAAGATCCAGTGTGAAAACAATGCATACGAACTTTATGAACTTTGTATGTAAACCAGTATAATAAAAACAAAACAAAATTCCAAAAGTACAAAAGACAAATAACTTTGCCTCATTAACTAATTCTCTCTTTTCCTCATAACTCAATGTTTTCATTTCCTACTCCACAGATTGGTGTTTCTTTTAAAATTACTTTCTTACTCATAGCCATCATGTGGGTACTGACGCATAGCTGACCCTCCAACAGGCTTTCAGAGGCTATCAATTGCACAGGAGGTAGTTTGAATCCACTAGTAGCTTCATGGAAGAAAGACAGGCAATCTCCTCCCATGTGATTTACAGCCTTTGAAAATCCACTTGAGGGTCAGGTATGAGTCAGTTCCAACTCAATGGCAAAGAGTTTACTATTAAGAACAGCTATATATTGATTCTAGTAGAGACATCTACTTTCTACTAGACAAAAAAGTAGAAGTAATGACAAAGTCCATCATTTTAACACATGCTCCCCAAAGTCGGCTGACATTATAGTTTCTAACTTTTATCAAAAGAGAGGATATTTACCTTACAGCTGCTGTCATTGTAACAGTACCACTTGCTGTTTGGGTTTTTGGCATACGTGACGTAATGACCCCCACCCAGAATTCCTGAGTGGCACTAAGAGAAAAGAAAGTAGAAGCACATTAGTATTTAACAGTAACCATGGTATTACCATCTCAGCAGAACACTGATGACTTAGGTAGTTAAAACAAAAATTACCCTTCTCTAGATGATTAACTCTTACTTTTCCTGCAGAACTAAATGTCCATTCTCCTTAGGCCCCATTGAGTTGGAATGACTGTCCCTTTAGTGGATTTCCACAAAGGCTGAAAAGTCAAGTTGTAAATTGCACAGAAGATTGCCCATCTTTCTATGGAAGAACAACTGGTAGTTTTGAACCATGTGCTTTTGGGTTGACAGTACAATTCTCTCCTCACTAGGCCACCGCAGCTCCCTGAGGGCTCTAGCTGAGATTAAGTCTTCCTGTGACTCCACATAAGATCTTGTGCTTTCCTCTATCACAGCTCTCATTCTGATGAACTCTGACTGACAACCACTCCTTCCTCATACTCCTTACATCTGATCAGAAAGGCAGCGATATCTACTCTTAACTTTGTCTATCACTGAGCTCAATGTCTAGAAATTAAGTAAGCACCATATGATTGCTCACTGAATGAGTGAAGACAAATGAATAAGCCACCTACCGAAATTGCATAAAGATTATAAATAGGCTTAACACGAGTATCTTCCCTTTGGTCATCCGTACAGTCCTCCTCACTGTAGTTTTCAAGTTGACCGTTGCTGTAGCCATTGCCACAAGTCTCGTGCTCATAAAGGAATCCATTGGCCAAGGCAACCTCATGGTCCTGAGGGGTAACCAGTTCGGGCTGGCTGCCTCCCAGCATGTGCCCTCGGCTCAAGGCGTCAGTCAGCTCACAGACCTGTAACACCCCATTTTCCTTGCTGGCATCCAAGTTCTCCTTACTATTTGACAGTTTGTTTTTGCTGCCAATCTGGGGTAGTCGAAGCCTCCCTTTGCTTCTCCCCATAGTCCGTGGGCTGCTGTTAGGGCTGCTGTTTTTGCTGGAGGGGCAGCTAGTTCCACTTTTTCTTGATGAAGAAGGTGAACCTATGAGAGATGAAAGATTAAAAGTCCACATGTCACAGGTCTGTCACTAAATGCTAATTTTAACTCAATTTCATACATGTACACATAAAGAAGATTTTGGCTGGCTATTCTTTGGTTCCTTCTAAGTAGTTAATAAGTGACACTCTGGTCTTCCTCAAGTGCCTGTAGGTAGTAATGTTCCAACGATATAAAGTAGACCAATTCTCAAGATTTTATAGTTTTTAATGCTCTGGTGAAAAAGCCACACAATCACCCCAGATGAACGCACTGCAGAATCCTTTGCCCTCTTTGAGCCAGCATCACCCCAGTCTTTGCAGTCCCACCTTTCTTCAGTCTGTTCTGGCCGTCCTTATGTTGTCTTCAAGTCTTTTTCTTCTCACACAAGAATGTCTTCTAAGTTTGGATTCCTTTTTTTGTGGCATAATCTATAGAACCACAATCCTGCTGTTTCTGTCTGGCTGCTTCTCACTGCCTGTGCCAGCTCTGACATTACAGCTCTCTTCTTTTCCTTCAGAGTCCCCACCAAAATTGCCACTGATGCTCCTAATTCCACCAACAGTCTCTTTAAGGCAATCTAGGTTTCTAGTATTAAACCAAACCCAAATCTACTGCCACTGAATGATTCCAACTCAGCAACCCTACATAGCAGAAAAAAAATGGCTCTTTTCCATAGTTTCTGAGGCACTACATCTTTACAGAAGCAAACTGCCTTATCTTTCTCACATGGAGTGCCTAGTAGATTTGAACCACCAATCCTTCCATTTGCAGCTCAACACTTTACCATTAGGCATCCTAACATTCTTTTAGCCTTTACTTATATATCCAATTCTAATACTTGTTTCATATTGTAGGTTACATGGGTTTTTTTTATATTGTTTGTTACAGCAACAAACACACTTGTTGGTACTGTCTTATTTATTTAGTCCTGCTAAAATAGAAATCCCAGTAATCCCATTCCTGAGAATTTATGACTTAATAAACAGAAATAGGGGAAAGCTTAAGTCAGCTATGAGAAACAGACTTAATTAAACAGAGTACAACTATTTAAAATTATAATTAGAAGCAGAATATAGCTATTACGGGGCTCTTGTGGTGAAGTCAAAAGGGTTGTGCTGCTAACTCAAAGGCTGCACATTTCCAGTGACCTGGCTTCACCAAGGGCTCTCTGGAAGAATGATGGGTGGCCTCGTCCTGCTGTCAGCCACAGCCTTGGAAACTTAATGGAGGGTTACTATGAGTAGTTGTTTGAAAACAGCAGTACCATAAGTGGACTGATTAGCTTCAATAAATAGAAGTTCATCTCTCACACTTTATGAGGCTGCAAATCTAAATTCAGGACACTAGTCCTAGGGGAAGGCTTTCTGTCTCTCAGCTCCAAGGAGAGATCCTTGTCTTCTTTCAGGATCTATAGCCATAATTCCTGGGAGATCACTATGTATCCTGGCATCAGTTCTCTCCAAGCTCTAGAAGTTCTCAGAGCAGGAACCTGGGTCTTAGGATGCATTCCACTTCAGGCTTTTCTTGAAGAAAAAAAAATCTTGAAGATTCCCCAGAACCTGCTTTGTTTCATCTCTTTTATATTTCAAAACAGATTCACTCAAGATACAGTCTAATCCTATAGGTTGTATACTGCCTCGTTAATGTCATCAGAAACTTATCCCTCTTGTGTCAGAACTGGCTCATAACTGACCTTCTAGTGGGTTTTCAGCAACTATAAAGCACACAGGAGAAGACTGCTCCCTTGGAGCAGCTGATGGATTCAAACTACCGGTCTTTGGGTTGGTAGTGCGATTCCTTACATGTTAAAGGTAAAGATTTACCACGTATAGGATAATTATGTTGTTGTGTACCACTGAGTCAGAATCAACCCACATCTGACCCTCCAGTGCGTATTCAGAGGCAGTAAATTCAATGGGATGAGACTGCCCATCTTATTTCCACAGAGCACCTGGTGGATTTGAACCATGTACCTTTGGGTTAGCAGTGCAACTCCTCATCACTAGCACTTCCTTAGGGTAATTATACCTGGTCATAAAACAAGTTAATTACACAATATTGAGAATAATGGCCGAGTCAAATTGATTCTGTTTGTGGAGACACAGTTATATTTATAACAAGTACTTAATGCTAGGCACAGTACCTGGACTACTTTATATTGTTTTATTTTGATCTCTAGTAACAATAATTCTTTACAGTGGCAGTTCTTAAATTTTTTTGGTCATCCTCCCTACTTGCTTTTATACCCCTAGAATTTTTGTTTATGTGGGTTTTATCTACCATTATTTATCTTATTAGAAATGACAATGGATACATTTTAAAAATGGAAGAATACACAATCACATATTTCATTGTTAAACTGCTAGCATTATCATCATGTCATGTTTTCTTGACTCCATAGTACATTTGTGAGAGAATATAAGAGAATGACAATGAAAGAGTAAGATATTTTTTTCAGTCTTTTTATGAAAATAGTCTTGACCTCCTAGACTGCTACTATAATTTCTAATATGTAACTATTATTAACTGATATAACTCACATGAACAAATGATACAGGGATCCCCTTGGGGGTTGCGAGGCTACATTTTAAGAAGTTCTCTACTGTAAGAGAACAAAGATGACAAGTACCACTGATGGTTACTGTATGTCAAGTGTTCACACTTGGTCCATTAAATCTTCACACCCTATGAACTTGGTATTATCTTGCATTTTCAAGTGAGAAGATTTAGGATGGATGTAGTCCTTGCTAGAAGACACATAGCAGAAATACATATAGGATTCTAAGAAGGTTCCTTCCACTTCCTTAAACTGTTGCTCCAGAGTAGATGACAGGGAGACATATGCTGCCTACAGAAACCCTAGCAAACCTCCCCTCCCCAGGGCGCTATCTGGAACCCCTTAGTGCCCAGACTCCTCACCTTTTGGACTACTGATGATGTTTGCACTGAGTGAGGATGGGCTTTTGCTCAGAAGTACATCCTCTTCCCCAGCGGAGTTCTGGGCATCGACTTTCTTCAGCTCTCCTAGCGGAATTCTCAGCTCAGAGAGGTCATCCCCCTGGGGAGTGAGTGGTTTCCGGAGACAGAGGGCTGGATCCCTTGGTACCAAAAAAGCACTGGGGTCAAAACTTTCTCGAGGAAATTTGACAATTTTCTGGGATTTAATCCATCGGCCATTCACAAATTGAAATCGTTTAAGATGAATAATCTGGGAAAGAAAAAGTACAAATACTCATGTTAAACAGTTTAAAGATACTAAATGGTTAAAACACCTGATATACTTTCACTTTTTTAAAAAAAAATTTTTTTATTTTGTTATTTTATTTTATTTATTTTATGTGTACCGTCAAATCAGATCTGACTGGTACAGGAAGTTTCCCCCTCCTTCTCCGGCAGAGCATCGGGTGGATTTGAATTGTATACCTCTGGGATTGCAGTGCAGCTTCTTGCCACTAGGCCACCTGAGCTCCCCATACTTTCACTTTTAAGGGGGAAAAAAGTTCTCCAAAAATGCCTAACCAAATGATTACAGGATGTTCTCTCAGATATGTGATATCTCAGTTAACAGATGAGTGAGTGAAGTGTGAAAGTAGAATTCATAGATGAATCTGAAAGAATTAGTTGGGGAGCTAAAGAAGGAAAAAACCCTTAATTTTCAATTTCTTTCACAGACGAGTAGGATGAAGATATGCATACATACATACTTTGTGCTGGACACATTATCTGGTGAGGTTATGTGGGAGCAGAGTTGAATGGTAAAAGCAAAATCAAGTGATAATGCAGAACAACTTCAAAATAGGTCCAAATTTCAGACCTTTGTCTCTAAGAACAGGCAGATCCATTAACACAAATTCCTGCCAAGCAATAAGAGAATCTCCTAAACTCTAATGGGAGAGGGCAAAAGTAAAATAGATTACAGGCACATACAAGGGTCAGCACACTTCATACCTGCCAGTTGTCATGTTACCACAGTGGGTACCAGGTGACTGGCCAGTGTAGGCTGTTCTTTTAGAGCCCCCTAAAGCTTCTTTTAAGGGAACTCTGGTGGCTAGTGGTAAGAAGCTGCACTACAATTCTAAAGACATGTGGTTCGAATCCACCAGCTACTCTGTAGGAAAAGCATGGCAATTTCCTCCCATGTGATGTACTGTCTCTGAAAACCTACTGAGGCTTAGCTATGGGTTGCTACTGACTTGGCAACACACACTGCACAGCCCCCGCCCCCGCCCCCACCCCCACCACAAAGGCTTCTTTTAAGGAGCTCTGGTGCCCTAGTCAGTAGGGTGTTTACTCCTAACCAAAAGGCTGTGCATCTAGAGTGGTTGGCATCCACCAGCTGCTCTAAGAGAGAAAGATGGGCAGTGTCTTAATCCTTAAGATATACCAGCCTCTGAAATCTGATGGAGGGTTGGTACACATTGGAACTGACTGACCTAGTGGCAAGAAGCTGCACTGCAATCCGAGAGGTGCGTGGTTCAAATCCACTAGATGCTCCGCTGGAGAAGGAGGGACAATCTCCTCCTGTACCAGTCAGATCTGATTTGACGGTGCGCGCGCGCGCGCACACACACACACACACACACACACATTTTACTTTAAAAAAAAGTGTTGAAGAGTAAGAATGTCAGTTAGAAGACTGAGGTGCACCTGACACAAGCTATGGTATTTTGCTATTTTCAACTGCTTTATATGCATGTAAATGTTGGATAATGAAGAAAAGGATGGAAGAAAAACTGATGCCTTTGAACTGTGGTGTTGGCAAAGATTACTGAATATACCATGGACTGCCAAAAGAACAAGTAAATCTGTCTTGGAGGAACTGCAACCAGGTGTTTCTCCTTAAGTGCAAAAGACAGTGAAATCTTGGCTCCAGTCCTTAGAAAAAAGACATTACATTGGGGGAAAATAGGTTAGCAAAGGAGGACGACTCTCAAAGAAATTGACTGACACAATGTGACTAACAATGGGTTTGATCTGTGGTTTATGGGGTCACTATGAGTTGTCACTGACTTGACAGGATCTAACAACAGCAACAACTAATAGACTCAATGTCTGTTTTCTTCTGGGTCAGAAGTGCTTTAGAGACAAGAACTACCAGATATCTATAGAATAATTTATCTTTATCTCCAACAGGAAACCTGCTACAAGGTGGGTCTTATTCTCAAAAATAGCAAAAACTCTTGTTTGGTCAAGGCTTCATTCCTTTATACCAAACTCCTGCTCAGAAATGGGCTAGAACATACCAAGATTGGGGGAAGCCTCCAGAGATCCAGCTTCTTGGTTGCCAAGCAGTGAGTCTTACACTTGGAACAGTAATACATCTCGTTTTCCCCCAGCTCCTCCTCACTGGTGAAAGCACGGAGACAACTATCCAGGTTGATGGGCTCAGCCTGCGCTCGCCGACTCTGCTCCACACTCTCATGCTCATCTACAACCTGCAGGAAGAGGGAACAGGAGGAATTAAGGGGGAGAAATAGTTAAAGTAGGCACCTGACTATGAATCAATCCCTTACCTGTATTTTCCTCTACATCAGGGGAAGGGGAGGGGAGAAAAGAAAATGGTATCAATAACTTTCATTGCTGTCAAGTCAGAACTGATTCATGTCTTTTCAGAGGCTATGAAGCCAGGAGGAGACTACCGGTTTTCCTCCTGTGGAGCAGTTGGTGGATTTGAGCATCTGTCTTCTTGGGCTTGGCAGTGAAACTCTTCACCCATTAGACCACTAGAGAGACAGACGGGCAGACAGACTTCACCCCTAAAATGGAGTCTCTGAATATGTCTAGCATCTGTACATTTATTAAAAAATTTTACATTAGGTGAACTCTGCTAGCCTAGTGGTAAGAAGCTGCACTGCAATCCCAGAGGTAAGCAGTTCGAATCCACCAGATACTCTGCTGAAGAAGGAGGGACAATCTCCTCCTGTACCAGTCAGTTCTTTTAAAAAATATTTACATTAAAAATTTCCAGGATGAACCAACCACAGCTTTATCTGAAACTTTTCCAAATGTTTAAAAAGGGAGCGAGGGGAGGGATTATCTGTTTGTTTCAAAAATTTTAAATCCTAAAATAATTTACATGCAAGTTATAACCAGAAAGACTATTAGTATGCTTCAGACTCTACAGAGGCTACTGAAACAAATGCCAGATCTGGACTAAATAAGAGTGAGCAGAGAAAAGCTCACCAGGAGAAGAACACACCAGAGCATAAAACCCCACAGGACACAACTCATTTACACAATGACATGATACAACAGGAGTTATCAGAAGACCGCATGTATCACTGCCTGTCGCCTGTCTCCTGTCTCATGAGGCCTTTTAATCTGAGATGACAATGATACAACAGCCAGGTCACAAAGTGTGCTGCTTCTATTAAGCTTCCTACCACTGCACAAAACTTTGAGGGTCCTGTTAAACCAACATGCTAGGCTCTGGAGCAAGAGGAGGTAAGTATGCATTAACAGTGACAGTAGAGGTGGGCAGAAGTGTAGGGATATGCACTGGGGGTTACAGGGCATTCTATTTGAAAGACAGATGAAGAGAAAGAGGGACCTTGAATACAACAGAAAAGGGAAAATGTTCCTTTCCCCATTCCTGGGTGTCACCTAAAAAGAAACAGGCAGCTGGGATACTTCTTCTATCTCTAATGTATGGGAAGGTGGGGAGGCAAGATCAGGACTGTGAGTACTACCAGGAGACTTCACACAAGGGTATTTCATCGCAGGGTGGAGCCTGGGTTAGAAGGCCAACAATGACTGCCTCTTTCTGGCAAAGGTCACACATTGCCAAACATCCCACTGTCTGCACTGTTCCTTCCTTCCAGAGGTGTACAGCTTCTCTTTTTTGCCTGATGTAATTTCTCTTATTGTTTCCTTTCCTGACAATTATGATGAGAACATTCAGGTGTCTAGATTATATACTGGCATAGTTCAGGACATTCTGTCTAGAATAGACTTTTCAGGTGAGACTTTTAACCTACATAAGAGGATGGCTGAACCATAGGTTATCAAATGGCCCTCTACTCTATCAAGGATGGGGTTGATCATGCAGTTAAGGTTTTAGGATTTCATCACCATCCATTCTAAAGAATTTCTTTTAAAAACAGAAAAAGGAACTTGGCTTGACTTTAGGGCACTGATGTTCCTTCTTTTCTGAGTACAAATTCTTTAATAACAGGATACGACCCATCATATTTAAAAAAAAGTTGATCACTAAAGGGAAAATCTGACATCAAATCAGTAACTGCAATTAACAGCTCCTTTAAAAAAATATGTATTAAAATATAGCAATATGTTTTTTCTCATAGCCAGTTAAACATCTCTCCCAGGCATGCTTTATGGACAACCACAAGTTATAATAAGCTAGTAAAGAAAGCTGATTTTACTGACTTTATTTTTTGTGGGTACAAAATATAGAGCTAGATGGAGGAATAAGAAACCCTGATAAAGACTCTATTTGTGGACTCATAATGATTTCTACTTATGGAAAACATTTCTCTAACTAATAAGTTCCTTTCACCTCTTGAAAACCATCTCCAGATCTTCAATTATTGTTCACATGGTCTAAATTACTTACACATACCCTCTTCATTTCTCCTCCATGTTGCTTGAACAACTCATCCTTAACGTAAAACACAGGGAATAAAGCAATAATTTCTATACATTATAAGTCTACTGAAAAAACAAACAAACAAAAAAACCCTAAGAGAATCTAAGAGAAAGATCTAAGAAGTCATTTAGTTCCATTGGTTGAGGAATGTTAGGTCCAAATAGAAGTACCAAAAGCAAGAGAAACTGCTTTTCCGGCATTTCTCCACCCCCTCATCAAATGAAATATGTAGAAGTGTTGAAGAGAAAAATGCAGAGGAAATATAGAGCAAGGAAATCGTTCATATTCTTAGTATAGATACAATAACTGTCAAAATACTATCAATGTTTCCCTGTCTTTTTTTCCCCCCAATATCCATAAATGCACTTTCTTTATTTAGATCATCATTATTTATTTATCACTTTATTTAGATCTTTGGGGGCAGTGGGTCCTGGCCTCAAAGACTGCCTCCTGTTTCCCTGTCTTAAAGGAAAATATTTTATTGTATCTTTAGTGATGGTTTATACAGTAGTTTGGGTTCCCATTCAACAATTTCTATACATGTTGCCCAGTGTCACTGGTTACATTCCGCACATGTGAACACTCATTATTTCTGTTCCTATTAATCTAGTTTCCCTGCCTCCTTACATTCATTTTTGTTTTTAAGTAATAACTGGCCATTTAGTTTTATATAGTTGATTTTTTGTTTTTCTATTATTTATAGTTGTTTTTTTAAAAATTTTACACTCTTCTCTTTTTTAGAGTTCATTTTTAAAAGAAGCATAGTACTTTTGGACATTCTTATGTTTAAATTCATTATTCTTTCAGTCTACTTGCTATTTAGCTCCAAACTTACTTCAATGGTAAGTGATGGTTTAAGACCGGAAGAATATCTCAGAGAATCCACCAATCCGAAATGTCCCATTAAAGCCTGGTTTTTGTTTTTAGAAGTTGCATACATATACACTTATCATACAGTTAATTTTTAAAAGAAGTGTAATTATGGGTGACACTATTTTTGAGTCAATGGTTTTTATATACAAGGTAACCTTGAGGACTAGTTTTGGTCCAAGGTTTGCAGAGTGTTTCAGATAAGTAGTCTTGGGGAATCCTCCAGCCTTAATCAGTCCAGTAAGTCTGGGGTTTTTGGTTGTTGTTGTTGTCATGAATTTGAGATTCTGATGAACACTGGCTAACAGGAGCCAGAAATCATCTAGTTCTTTTGGTCCTAGATTCAGTAAGGCTGTGTTTCATGTAGGTTAGTTTCATTTTTAAGTATTCTAACTTTTTTTTTGTATTGTTTTTTTAAAATTTTATTATTTTGTGTGCGTGTACTGTCAAATCAGATCTGACTGGTACAGGAGGATATTGCGCCTCCTTCTCCGGCAGAGCATCTGGTGGATTCGAACCGTTTTCTTCTGGGATTGCAGTGCAGCTTCTTGCCACTAGGCCGCCAGAGCTCCCCCTAGTATTCTAACTTTTTCTTTCTCTTTTGCTTTGGACAAGTAGAGACTAATAGTTATATCTTATTTTTTATTATGATTTGGGTGAAAGCAAAGCAATTTTCCATTTAACAGTTCAACACAATTCATTACATACCATTGTCTGCAAACACTTTCATCTATTTCTGCTCTTTCCATTGTCCTTCTTCCTGTCCCTTCTGGCTTTCTGAACTTTGTCTTCAGGAAAATGCTGCCCTTTTGACCATAATTACTCTAAAAAAATGCATACCTCTGAGATGTTATTGTTCATTTTATAAGTTGGTCTAATGTTTGGTGAAAACTGAGTCATGAAGCTTAGCTGAGTTCTAGGTATGAAGGATGACTAAGGGCCATTGTCTTAGGAGATGGACCAGTATCTGTGATAAGAGGCTAGGGACTAGTGAGCTTTATATTTTTAAAAAATTTTTGATTTTGAGTTTTGTTCTATAGTCTTCTCCTCTTTTACACAAGACCTTTTAATGTGATTCTGTTCGAGCCATTGGCAGCTGGTCACCATCTAGTTCTTCTGGCCCATGAGTCCTTTGTGCTGTTTCCATGTGTTTTTTTGGTTTTCTTCACTTTACATGGCATTTTCATTTTAATTCAAGATTTACTTCAGTACTGTCAGTACTCTTAATAGCCACACTATGCCTTATGAAATAGGACATTATGTTATTTGGACCATACTGAAGTCTGGTCCTGCTTTCTTTAAGCATCTCCAATAAGTTTCACTTGTTAGCAGCGATCATCATTATGGCGAGAGTGATTTGTCTTTGTTTGGTCCTGAATCTACGTCATTATGAATTTCTTCATATCCAGGAGAGGTCTTCTTCGCATTTTTGTTTTCAGTGGAGTTGATCCTTTAATGGCTTGGAGAATACTTCTGTTTCTGGGGATTGTCATGACTGTTGAAGGCTGCACAGAGTGCATCTCAACACCAAGAAAACAAAAATTCTCACCTCTGGCCCTACAGACAACATTATGATAGATGAAAATGGGATTTAAAACTGTCAACAGCTTTTTCTTATTTGGATCCACAATCAATATACTTGGTACCAGCACTCAGGAGATGTAGTGAACTGGCAAAGTCTGCAGTCAGGGACTTTTCCAAATTACTGAGGAGCAATGATGTTAGTTTGAAGACTACAGTGCACCTTCTTCAGGCCATACATAGTCTTTTCAATCACTTGCGATGCTGCTTGAGAGGTAGACAGTGAATAAGGATGACAAGAAGAGTTGATGCCTTTGATATGTGGTGTTGGAGAAGAACACTGAATAGCTCATGTTTGTGCCAAAAGAACATACAGATATATCATAGAAAAGATGTAGCCAGAGTGCTCCTTAGAGGCAAAGATGATTAAACTTTGCCTCACATGTTTTGGGCATGTTGCTAGGACAGGTTATTCACTGCAGAGGGACATCAGGCTTGGGAAGGTGAAAGGACAGTGAAAGAGAGGGAAAACCTCAACCAGGTGGATTGATGACAAGATAATAAGTATAGCAATGGGCTCAAGTGTATCAGCAATTGGGAGGACGGCACAGGATAGGACAGGGTTCAGACCTATTGTTCATAGGGTTGCTATGAGTTGTACTTGACAGCACCTAACAACAACAACAACAGCAACAACATGACTGTTGAGTGTGATAAGCCCAAATCATGAACAACAGCATTCATTAAATTTTCACCTTTGTGTTAATAACCTTTTATTTCACTTCCAAGTCAATAATCCGCTTTTTTTCTTGCTGCTGACTTCCCTCGCACTAGTCTTTTTGTATTGGGAGTATTTTGAAAAAAATTAAACAGAGAGTTAATGCAGACAGTTATACAGTATACTTTTTTAGGTAAAAAGTATTGTAAAACATGCATGCATTATTATGATTATCAAGACACATGGAAGCTCTGGTGGCTTAGAGGTAAAGGAATTGCACTGACAACACAAAGGTAAGCAGTTTAGGTCTATTAGCTGCTCTGTGGGAGAAAAGATGTGCAATCTCCTCCCGCACAATTTACAGCTTTGGAAAATCTACTGGAGTCAGCTATGGGTTACAGCAACAACAATAATAAACCAAGACATATAAGTCACAGATACCACTATACACCAGGCATCACAACCATTTTATATGAGGGACACACTTTTGTGGACAGCTGTTATGTTCACTATACAGAGTAATTTCTGAACTCCATTAGAACTTTATTAAATTATCAGTGTGTATTTAGCAGGACACTGCTTGAATGGACATTATAGAGTATGACTATAAATACAATTTTGTTCTTGCTTTTTAAAAAATGTACTTTGTCATAATTGTTGTTGTTATGTGCCGTCGAGTTGCTTGCGACTCATAGCGACCCTGTGTACAACAGTCCTAAACCCTGCTCTGTCCTGTGCCAATCGCACTGCCTCTGACACACCCATCCTGATTATCCCAGTCACTGGATCAATCCACCTCATAGAGGGTCTTTCCCTCCTGTGCTGTCCCTCCACCCTCCCAAGCATGATAATTATCTTCCCATTCAGTAAAAACATCATTCTATTCAATGACTACAATATTTTAGTCAATGGCTACATCATGTTTTACATAACTATTTCTCTAACAAACTAACATGAATAGTTTGATTTTTTTTTCAGTATCTAAAAAAGGTTATGATGATTATTTCTTTGATTATATTACACAGTATCTTCTTAGGACAAATTTCTGTAAGGAAAATTACTAGAATATAATTTGTGAAACATATGCACATTAATTTAAATTTTGAATCACAGTGTGTCTCCTTTGTCTACGTGACTTGCCGAGCACATGCAGAAGCCACATGTAGGAAGAGAACTGCTTAGTCATGCCACTCAAGGCAAGATATCTCAGCAGTGCTTGGTTTCCATGGTATCCTAAGTGCATCACTGAAACTGGAAGTAGGTCAAGATTTAACTGGTCACGTAGCTCCTACCTATAAGAAGGAGATTCTCTGATTGTAAACAGGGCTTGTTTAAAAGGAAAAGGGATTTACAGAGACAAAAATTTTTCATATTTGACAGATATATTATGTCCTATCAGATTTTATGCTGCCAGACTTGGGAATTTTTCTATCAGTTGCTAAAATTTCTCCTCTTCCTCAAAGAGGCACGGCTGAGGTTATGGAATTACTGTGTTATAGTGAGCATGATAGGCTGGAACATCAACTTCTGTTCAGTTTCTTCTAGCTTTAGCACAACGATCTTTCACGTGGCAATGATCTACAATTATTATCTTTCATTTGGCAACTCATCCTTGGCTAGTGAGAAATGCCAGGAAGAATACTCGAGGACTGCAGAGGAGGCGATTGCTTCAATTTCCTTATGGAACTGGTGGTGGATTAAAATTGCCTGCCGTTGGCATGGTAGTGCAATTCTTTTCCACTAGGCCACAGACCTCCTTTTGTCAAGTGCCATAAAATACAAAACCTACTGTAATTCCTCACTTAAGAAACTTCTTTGATTCTACTGTACTTACTCTTCCATCAGATTCTTGGTATTACTTTCTGTCCACAAGCTACTAATCAATCTCTCTTAAAAGAATATTGGGTTAAAAAAAACCCAAAACAAAACAACAAAAGAAAAAAGAGAATATTGGGCTAATTAAAACTGCCTGAATAAAACATTAGCTTTTGAAAAAATTGCCAAAATGATCTTTTATTAATCTGGAAATGGCTATTAAAAAGAAATTACTATTTCTGTTGTAAAAAAACAAAAACCAAAACCCAAAATTGCCCGAGTAACACTTTTTAGTATGGAGTATCTATCCTTTTCAAAAACATGTTTTCACATTTTAAAGAAAGCTCTAGCTAGAGAATGGCTGTAGAGGAATCAAGTTTAAAGAGGAGCCACTGAGACCTATTCTTTGATGGCCAGTATTAAAATATTTCAGTTCTTTTTTAAAACTTCTTTGATCATTATACTCACTAGGGGAAATAACTATAGGACGCTATCAAACTAAGTAGCTGTGGATACCAAATGCTACAATTTCACTGATACTTAAGTAAGTATACAGAGATTTCCTGCTTGCATGGCCAGAAGACAGAACTACAATTTTGTTTTTAGATTTCACTTGTTTAGATGTTCTAACATAACTAATTCACTCCAGTAGTGGGAAACAAATTAAAAAAACCACTCACAAAGTTATTTAAATACATTATGTGCCAGAGACAATGTCAAGGCATGTTTTCTGGATAGGCTTACATTGGCTAAAACAGAAACATTAAAAATATATTTAAACTGGATATAAAGGAATAAAATTCACAAATAAAAATCACTATCTTATGGTAGCCCTGATTACTTACCCTTTCCTGTGATGTCTGATAGCGGAGGTGAAGGGCTGTGGGGTCCCAATCCACAGCAATGTAGGCATTTCCAATGAAAGCTCGGTCTTCTCCACAATCAATTTTACAGCCTCTGCAAAATCTAAAGGGACAATAAAAAAGATCTGTAAAAGTAGAAATAATTATGAAGGATTCCAAATTTTCTCTATCAGAAATAATGCTCCTTTCCCACATCTCCAGTTTTTTGAGCTTCAAGTTTCAGAGCTTTATAAATGAACAAAAATTAATATTTTAGAGAATCATGCTTATTATTTCTTAAATCTTTGGATATTTTAAAAATTTTTATTATTTTGTGTACGTGTACCATCAAATCAGATCTGACTGGTACAGGAGGAGATTGCCCCTCCTTTTCCAGCAGAGCATCTGGTGGATTTGAACTGTGTGCCTCTGGGATTGCAGTGCAGCTTCTTGCCAGTAGGCAACCAGAGCTCTCTAAATCTTTGGTTTTTTTTAAGCACTTGGTAACCATCTATTAATTCTCATGAAGATGTAAGAGCTTCAGGACAAATAAATGAGAATTAGATATTTGAGATAACTCAAAAGAAATCCCAAATTCAGTTATTCAATGCTCTGAGGCAGGCAATTTATCTTGTATTACCAACAGTTATTTCTTTTTTCAAAAATGGCACATAAATGTGTGTATTTGAAAAATGGCACAAAATTTCACATAAATACGTGTGGGATAAAAATGGGAAACTTTGTGTGTAATTTACAGCCTCTGAAAAGCTGATGAGGTGTCAGCTATGAGTCAGTTCTGTATCAACAGCTCGTAACAACAAAAACATAAAAATGTGCATAAAAATGTATGGAGGACATTATGCTGAGTGAAGTATCTCAGTCACAAAAGGACTTATACTGCATAGTGCCACTATTGTAGAATGGGGAGAATGTGAAAGATTGGATAAATAATGTATACTGCATTGAAACAGATGAGGGAGAAAACTGTTTAAAAGGGATATATGATTAGGTATTGTTGCTATAGGAGTCTAGATCGATGGCTGCATAGTAGACTGGACTTGGGGGAGGGACTGTATAACAATGAAAGAATTTTACTAAAGAGAAGAGCGAACTGGGCGGGGGAAAGGTGGGCAGGGAGAAAAGCATAACAATGAATGAATGAAAATCCAAAGTCTCTGTGAATTTTCATTAAAATTAATAATAAATAAAAATATAAAGAAAAAAGTATGGAGTTGAGAGGGGTGTGGACAACATGGCAAAGCTATTTTGTATTCCGTTTTCAAGTATCTTACTACATTTTTCTAGAAAATTACTTTATTACTGTCTTGTATTTTTTCCACCTGAACAGACTTTCAGCAAGGTATAGCAAACAGACGATTCTTTTTAAAGAGCTTACAGTATAAAATAATAGCTATTGAAAACAAGCTATTTGGGGTAGACCAAAGGGCTTATAAGGAGCTCTGGTGGCAAAATTTGTGACATGAGCTAGTCTCAGGTTTTAACCCAAAGTCTTATTCATTTCTCTGGTGGTTTCGCCTTAGGATAAAGATGGACAATTTCCTCCCATGTGGTTACAGCTTTAGAAATCCAATGAACTGTGAGCCAGTTCACTGGGTCAGCTATGAGTCATCTATGACTCAACAGCAATGAATGGAGATAGAGTTTATTAAACCAGCTCAGTGTCAAAAGCAACCTCCACCTATCAACCTCCTAAGGAAGAAATAAATGAGTAATTTCTAAATTTCTTCCAATTATTTAACTTTTTTAGTCTTAAGCTTGGAAATATTATTAAAAAGATACTTTATCTGAAGCTGCAATTTCAAATTTTTTTCTTTTACAGAGAGGTCACTTTACCTATACCATGGGCACCAAGCACAGGAGTTCCCATCTTTCTGCACGACCCGTAGAGTGAATGGATACTGATAGCCCATGCTGTCATCACTGAAACAGAAGAGAACACAAAAAATATTATGAGCAGCACTTCTAGCTTGGAGTGCATCTCTTTTTATTTTCATTATAACTGACCTGAAGGAACCCTAGTAGTGTATTCTGCAGAGTGTTGTACTGCCAAGCAAAAAGCCCAGCATCTTCTGTAGTTCTAACTGATGAGTGACTTTTTGGGAGATAAAGAAGTAGCCTCCTGCCAAGATTTACAGTCTAAAATTCTGTGCTATGTATTGGGATCAACTCAACAGCAATGAATTTGGGTTTGGCTAAGTAACCCTTCAAGGGCATTTGTCACTGCAGTGTGCTTAGGTGGATTGTTCAACATGGATTATTCGAATTTGTCAGCAGCCGCAGCCATGTGCCTAACACATTCTACAGTAGGACGAATATACAATGCTCATCTAAATGAGCCCATGTGCTACGTGCAAATTTTACAAGATAAGTCAATCATGTAGTCACAAATCAATTATCTCTATCAGGGGAATTAGTTCACTTAAACTAATTAGACATTTCCATGACAAGAACACTGACACAAAACAGAAGGCTGGAAAGCCCTAAAGGTTTTGTACATAAAGAAGTCTTCTTTAGTCAGAGTCCCTAACGCAGTTCTTACTAGGTCCATTTTTCTGCCAGGTTTTAACTATTCGAAGTTACAAGTTACATACCATCTGGGGAGTAACTTCCATTAACTGCCAATGGTGATTATAAAGATAGTCTTGAAAACAACCTAACAACTTCTGCAACTTGAGCAAAAAAAAAAAAAGTTTTCACTCTTATCCCTGTACAAGTAATAATGCAAAGAATATGATAAAAGAGTAGTATACTTTACTGCTCATTTGGCACTCGATAGTGACAATTTTATGACTCTGGAAGTAAGAATGAGTTGTACAGAAAAGAGATGCCAATTTTCACATGTAGAAGTCCCAATCAAAGAGTAAATAATTTGACATGCAATCAATCATACAGAATTCTCATATATTATTGTCCTTCTAGAGTCTGGAAAACACAAGGCCAATCTCTTGAACTCACCAATCTTGAGCATGATTACTGGCTTCTTGAGGTGGAAGAGGGCTGGCTAATCGAGATACTTGAATCCAAACCGCATCATACAAGTCTTTTTTCCTGGTATTTACAGTACAAGGAACAATCAGTGGCATTCCAAAGAGGCTGGGGCGATTCTTCTGAGATGACAGGAAATAAAGTTCTGTCCTCATCTAGATATATAACCAAAGAAGAGAAGCTGGTAAAGAAGCCTTTGAATTCTCACTTTCCTTTTTCTAAGACTGTCAGTGACACACATTAATACCATTTAAAATTAAAGATGAAACAATCTTTTATTAGTCTTAAGAGAATGGCTATTTAAGATGGAGGCAATAAAGTATTGCCAACTTTAACAACTTATTGTTGCTTATCAGCATTTAATATTGTCAAACTCTAGTTCTCTCCACTAAATCTCTCTCATATATTCTGAATTACATGTGAAGTTTAATTATTATAATTGCATGTAAAATTTCCTATTTTAATAAAACTCTCTCTCTAGAAAATGCCAGTACTTAAGGACTGAACTGGGTTCCCCCAAATATGTGCTATAAATCCTAAACACTATGCCTGTGGTTATAATTCCATTTAGGAATAGGTTGTCTCTGTTATGCTAGTAAACTGGAATTAGTGTAAGGTGTCTTGAATCAATCTCTTTCATGAAATAGCTAGCAGAGGTGGAGTAAAAGAAATAACGACACTTGGATATCTTCAAGCAATTAGAAAGTAGAAGCTGAACAAACAAGGACCTTCATTAGAGCCAACAGAGACAGAAAGTTTGACCCCAGGGTGATTTAATTCAGATTTCTAGATTCCTAAACTGTGAGAAATTAATAAACTGTGAGAAATTAAATTTGTTTGTTACAGCCATTCACTTGTAGTATTTTTTTAGAGAAGCACTAGAAAACCAAGATAAAATCTGGTACTGGTAGAATAGGATGCTAATATATGGAAGTTGGATAATGGTTGCGGCTGTTGTGTTGTTATGTGCCATCGAGTCGCCTGTGACTCACAGTGATTGTATGTACAAGAACCCTAAACCCTGCTCTATCCTGTGCCAACCTCACTGTCTCTGACACATCTACTCCCACTGCCCCAATCACCAAATCGATCCATCTAATCGAGGGTCTTCCTCCCTGCATTGTCCCTCCACTCTCCCAAACATCATGTCCCTCTCCAATGCCTAGTCCCTCCTTGCAACATGACTAAAATATGTCAGACGAAGATTCAGAATCCTTGCCTCCAAGGAGCAGCCAGGTTTCACCCTCTGTAGAACAAACCTGTTTGTTCTCCTAGCAGTCCATGGTATATTCAACAGTCATCTCCAGCATCACAGCTCAAAGGTATCAATTCTCTATCATCCTTAGTCACTGTCTAGCTCTCTGACTCATAGCAGGCAATTGTGAAGACTATGGCCCGGATCAGGGGCACTTTAGTCTCCAGAATGATGTCGCTGCTCTTCAGTACTGTAGAAAGAGTACCAGAGGAATGTCTATCTGTGTTTCATTGACTGTGCAAAGGCTTTTGCCTGTGTGGATCACAACTAGCTGTGGCTGACTCTGAGAAGAATGGGAATCCCAGAACATTTGATTGTGCTTATGTGAAACCTATATTTGAACCAAGAGGCAGCAATCAGAATAGAGCAAGGAGACACTACATGGTTCAAAATTGGGAAGGGTGTCCGCCAGGCATTTATTCTGGCTCTATACCTTTTCAATCTGAATCCAGAACAGATCATTCGAGATGCTGGTCAGTATGAACAGGAATGTGGCATCAGTATTGGTGGAAGATTCATCAACATGTGTTATGCAGATGAAACAACCCTGCTTGCAGAAACTGAGGAGGACCTGAAGCACTTGTTATAGAAGGTCAAGGACTGCAGCCTTCAAGATGGATTGAAATGCAACATCAAGAAAACAAAGATTCTCATCACTGGGCTAATTGGCAGCATCATTATGGATGGTGAAGAGATTGAGACCGTTAACAGTTTTAGTTTACTTGGCTCCACAGTCAACATTCTTGGTAATAGCAGCCAGGAAATCAAGAGACAAACTGCACTGGATAATGGTAGAGGCTGGAAAAGTTTTAAGGTGCTTAACCCTAAAAGCCTAGACTGCTTTGAAATGCCTTTTGTTTATGGAATTACAGATATCTAGAACAATTCTGATGAGGGCCTAGAAGAAAGTGACAATAGCTATAGAGAAATCTATCATCTTAGAAAATGTATATGGCGCCACCAACAGAATGAGGCTAGAAATATGGATGATAAATGAATTTCTAATGAGGCTTTAATGATGGATATATGATTGGATACTGGAGGAAAGGAGATGCTTTTCACGCTCATAAAATGTGAACAAATCTTCTCTGAATTTTGTTGAAATGTTTGGGAGAAGGTAGAATTTTAGGTGATGAACTTGGATATATAGCTGAGGAGATTTCTAAGCAGGATCTTAATGGACTACATGGTTTCTCTTTGCTGCTTACAGGAAAATGTGAGAAGAAAGTTGGACCTTAAAAGTAACTATGCAATATCAAAATAGAATTGCAAAGCCCTGACAAATTCTATTGTACAAACTAAGAACACATGGCCTAGAATATTCACCAGGGTGGTGGTTAATATATCTTTTGTGAAAGAGATTAAGTCCATCCATAACTGATCTAACCAATTACCAAAGAAGAAAACGCATCAGATGAGACTGAAAGGAAGAGAGAAAGAGTAAAGCAAAGACCACTGACTGCCTCTTGCAGGTACTAGGTCAAAGGAGACAAATCTGCTGTCTTTCAAAAAAGAAAAGAATCATCTTGAGAGCAACTCAGAGATCAGCAAAACCCAGAAGCATGGAAAGTCAATGCTGTTGAGTTGGAACTGACACGTAGCTGGCCCTTTACTGGGTTTCCAAGGTTGTAAATGGGAGGAGATTGCCCATCTTTCTCTTGAATCTACTGGATTCAAACTTTAAGGAAAGTTCAGCCTTTCAGACAGCAGCACAATTTCCCATGGACTATTCCACCAGAGCAGAATCACAGCCTGCTAGGTTTCAACGGGTAGGGGCATGGCATTATTAAGTTTCAAAGAGACTTGGTTCTGTTCTTGGAACAGAAGTTCTTGAAGTTCTTCTGTTCTTGAAGTTACAAGTTGTTACCTAAAGCTAAAGCTAAAGGGCTTCTGCTCTTAGAGCCAGAAGAATGGGGCCCAAGGGACTACAGGAAGGAGGGAGGTAGATTTGCTATTTAAATGGAGGAGGAGAATAGTGATACTTAAAGCTGAGGGTGTGTAGTTGCTGTTCCAGTGGGCCTGGAAGGCAGGGCTAAAGCCAGGGCTTTAGAGTGAGAATCTAGAAGGCCTGTCCAATATTTAGATTTTGGAGGGCAGGACCCGTTTTCAGACAGTCCCAAGAACAGAGGATTATTTTGAAGTCTCAAGAATTAATAAAAAATCATTCTTCTGGGTTATAGACTTGCTTGGGTGCCTGCCTTTTTTCATCTACCTTGAAACTGAACACTTGAAAACCATTGTACTTTGGAACTAGATGATTTGTATTCTAGGTTTCACAGATTCATAGATAAAGAGACATGCTATCCCAGGATAGGATACATCTAGTCTTAGACATATTCAATTTAGATGATTCAGAAGTTCAGCTTGATTTAAGACTGCTGGCATGATGTGATGGGGAGACTGTGTTTTACATGCAAAAGGAACATTAATTTGGGGGAGGAGAGCAAAAGGATATATTATGGACTGAATTGTGTCTCTCAAAAAGAAGTGCTGACACAATATCTCTCTCAGAAAACAAAGAAGCACAAAGCATGAACTGATGAACCTCAAAGAATATAACATAAAGCTTTGAATATACCTCAACAAAAAGAAAAGAAATGAGGACCAACAGGTAACATCATGATAGAGATGGAGAAAAGTCTGAATTTTTCAATTATTTAATTTTATTCGGGCTCACAATTAACACCCAAGGAAGCAGCAGTTAAATGATGTACTTGAAATTTGCCAACAAAGACTTCTTTAAAGTGCTAAAGAACAAGGTAATTTTAAAGACCAAGGTACACTTCATCCAAACACTAGTATTTTCAATTTTCTCATATGCATATGGAGCTTTGGTGGCTTAGTAGTAAGGAATTACACTGCCAATCTAAAGGTGAACAGTTTGAATCCACTGGCTGCTCTGTGGGAAAAAGATGGGTTAATCTCCTCCCAAGGGATTTACTGCCTCTGAAAACCTGCTGAAGGGTCAGCTATGGGTCAGTTTCAATTTGATGATATACAGCAACAACATAAGAATTTGAGGGTTCAAAATGAATAAAGAAGACAAAGGTATACTTTCGATACCTTTGAATTTTAGTATTGGTGAACTGCAGTATTAATGAAGATATGGATTGTCAAAAGAACAAGAGTCTGTCCTGGAAGAAGTGCAGCCCGAATGGTCCTTGGAGGAGAGGACTGTGAGACTTCACCTCACATTCTTTGGACATGTTATGAAGAGGGGCCAGTCTCTGGAGAGAAACATCATGTTTAGCAAAGTAGAGGCTCAGCAAAATAGAAGAAGACCTTGAATGAAATGGATTAACATGGTGGCTATAACGATGAGTTTAACCAAAGCAGAGATTATGAGGTTGACATAGTATCAGGTAGGATTTGTTCTGTTGTACAGAGTCAATCTGAGTAGATCTATTCCTAAAGGAATACTGATGACATGTTTAGCATGCTGTACACCAAATAAAAAGGTTAGTGCTTCAAATTCACCAGCTGCTCCTCATGAGAGAAACTCCTCAAAAGGTAGTCTCTTTCTGTTAATATTTACATCGGAAAACCAATGCAGAGTTGCTATGTGTTAAGATCTACTCCATGACACTTTTTTAGTTTGTTGGGTTTTTTTTTCATCTAAAAAATTTATTAATTTAGAAATGAGGATACAGAACAAAAGCTTTTTTCTATTCTTGTCAATACTTTTCTAATGCCATTCGTTTTCACTCTCTTGAAGGTAACTTTTCTCACTGTAAGGCAGCCCGTATCTTCTGCTCACTTCCTTAAAAGATGTTTCCAGTTCAACCAAGAATTTCCCTTTTGTCTTATAACATTTTCTCTCATCTGAAAAAGTCCAACAACTCTAACTTGCTAGAACTAAAGATTTCAAACTCCTGCTCTATTTCTTTACACTATTTAAAA